CAATATGAATAATCGTCTTTGTCTAAAAATTAAGACTATTAGCTCTTCAGCAAAGCACACACAAATCCTCGGATTTTTTTTTTTATCAAAAATTGATTTTTTACCTCTGAATGTCCAATAGCCCCGGCAGCATATATGTAATTAGAATTAGGGATTTGCTATAGGAAGAGGGGCGCGGTCAACCCCACAAATAGGGGGGAGGTCCCATTTTTTTTGCGGGCTACACCCCCATTTGTGGGGCTTCTGTCAGGGAGGCGGTCAGCCTCCCTGTTACGGAAGCTTTATTCTTAGAAATAAGCTCCTTGTGCACATTAAATGTATAGGAATTATTACAAATGATGAGATAACAACACTAGATTGGCTGTTTTAAATTTATTTTTTGTTCAATGGAATTGTGCTAGCTGACAATATATGTCAAACAGTGGGACAAAAACCCTAGTACATATAGCATGATTGATAAAATTAAGATAATATTATAACTCCTAATGTTTAAAACCATGAGAATAAAGTAATTATTATTATTAATTAATTAATTAATTAATATTTATTTTTCTTTGATGGTGTAGGCATGGACTAATGGCAGAATACAGCCTGCATATCATCGAGTGATAATGAGGGGAAATGAAGAAAGATACTCACTGGGCCTTTTTTCATTCATAAAGGATTTCACTATTCAAGTGGCAGATGAGCTAGTTGATGATGAACACCCACTACAGTTTAAACCATTTGATCACTATAAATATATTCATTTCTACTATACTGAGGAGGGAAAGAGATCAAAATGTCCCATCAAGGATTATTGTGGAGTTTAATATTTTCTCCTTTGTGTAAGATATATATAAAAGATGATTTATGCAGACATCTAAAGTGTGATTTTATTTTCTGTTATATGTGGATGTTCTGTATGTGTGTATGAGTCAAGTATGTATATTATAAGTTTAATCAAGTTGAATTGGAACTTTTCTCTATCTATCCAAATTCAATCAATATATTCTTCTTGTTGCTTAAAGCTTTCGACCACCATATTAATATTTCAATTGAGAATGTACAGAGAATTATGTAAATTTTAGTTGTATAATAAAATACAAAATTTACTGAAAAATTGAAGATTTTGCTATCAAAGCCGTAAACTACAACATTTAGTGATAGTAAAAATTGTAGAATACAAGAAATTTAAACCAAGAAGCATGTCGTAGACTTTCAGCTCACTGTTTCTTCAGTACGAAGCTTCACAATAATAGTGCAAAACTAATGGAATCGGAAGTATAAGTTAAGTGATCTAAACCACAGTATATTGCATAAAACTCTTTTGAATTAGTTGAGTAATACTTGGGAGATTAATTCAGCTTTTCATTCATTTGACTAATGACAATATTGATCCCCAAGTCCCTCATTTTATCAAACTTATTTATCTCTATCTTCCAAAAAATCACAAGGAATTTAGAACTTAACTCTCTCTTTTTTCCACTTCACTTTCCTTGTTTGTTTGGGTTCGTAACTATGTGACTAGTCAAAGTCGATCAGATGAACAAGGAAAGCGCCAGGCAACTCCTAGAAAAAAAATCAGATCACTCTTTTCAACTTCTAAAACTTGATGTTAATCTCAAAGTATGAACTTTACTTACCTTCAAATTGATGATATCAAACCTCTTTATACCTATACCTATAAAGGATGATTCCTAAAATCAAGCTCAAGATACCAAGGCTGACTCTTAGGCTAAAATCGAGGCTGCTCCTAGATGTAATAGATAGAAAACTGTAGCCACGGACGTAGCCTAGTTACTCAAAGTAGACTGTACAAGTGTATATATATTATATTCAATACAATGATATGTATCAAGTGTGGAAAATCTTATTGAATTGGAGTGATGTGAAAATACTGTCAATCTTACAATCTGGTGATGGTGTTGGAGCCAAGTTCTCATGAAACACCGATCCCTTCTCCAGAAATACCCTCCCAATAGTACAAACTCCACCTCGAATTCTGCCATCTTCTCCCACCGAAACTCCTCTGATTTCTCTCATTATTACTGCTCAGATTAATGAGAAACTAACAATTTAAACCAAGAGTAGGCCCGTCCTACTCTTTCAAAATTTACAATTATTCAATTATTCTTTTTAATTAAAGTTAATTGAATGGCTATCAAATTGGTCATGAATTTCCCCTATAAATAGGACCGATAGTCCATAAAATTTCACAAGGAAAAATGCAGAGGAAAAATCACTATGTGCTGAAGAAATTCCATAGTTGGAAAAAGAGAAGAAATTCTCTCAAACCTAAGTCCAGCAATCACCAAGAAGATCAAAATCTTCTTCATATCAAGCAAGTCCAATTCGAGTCTAAGAATATCAAAGTCTTCTTCAAATCAAATCAAATTCAAGTCCAAATTTGAACCTCGAACTCCGAGTGCCGAACAAGCCAAGTTCTCAACAACAATCGAATTTTCCATAAATTCTCGAAGTCCAGGAGTCAAGCCACGTGGCTTCTCATCATCAAATATTTAGATCTTTAATCATTAGTGATACGCGTAAGGATGAAGGAAAAGCAATAGGCTTTTAATGATTCTTATGCGTCGCAATTCGAGCCAAGTAATGCAGGTTACTTATAATAAGAAATCACATATGTCAAAGAGAAGTGGAACCGCTTCTAAGAGAATTGTGTGGGGTTCAATTCTTAAGAACTCTCACAAAACCAGGCATATGTTCATGGCCAAAACGAACATAATAATAAGAACTGAATTGTATTAAGAAGAATCATGTATGGAGTATGTCATTGTTTACATAAATGGCAGAACAGTTCGAGGACAACACGTCTACTAGTCAGCTAGTAAAGTAAATATGCTTTCACAAGGGAAGATTCAAAGGGTAATACCTACCTATCCTATGCAGGCTCAACCGTTAAACTTTATCATCACGTCTTGTGTCACACAGTCTCGTGTCTCTCCTAATTTTCATTCATGCGGGGAATTGTTGGAAAAAAAAAAGTAAATGGCATACTTTTGACAATATTTTTGGTGGGACCCGTTGGTCCAATTTGGAAGATCAAATTTGATCCGTGTTCTCCTTCGTGAGAACATGAAAATCATATATTTTTCCTGCAAAAAATGAAACTTGTGTGAATGAGAAATTGGAGCTCAAAGATGACCATTGAAAGATGGTTTAAGTGGAACAATTGCATTAATTCCACATAGGAAAAATATGAAAGCAAAAACCACTTTAAATATGGCTACACATTGGAGATGTGTAATCATGTGTAGCATAGAGGCTCTCTCAACGTGTGCGCGCAGGGGGTACAAATCACGCATCGAAATTACCTTCGAACCTTAAACTTGTGTACGGACGCGACCTGCATACACGAATGTCGGACCGAACAAAAGAAAAATTGGCCCCTTTAGAGAGCCCATGTTTTACAATTTTTTTCTTGCTTTTTTCACCGACTTTTGAGTTTTTGGAAACTGATGAAAATCCAATAGAAACTGAAGTGACTCCAATTTTATTGCCTGGAGTTAATGGCCGGATTTAACTTATATTAAGTCTCATTTTTTCGGCAATTCCAACCACGAAATACACACCCGAAACAGTTTGTATACACATGAAAATATACATTCCACTATCTGCATACAAACGAAAATATACAATGCATAGTCTGTAGCATTTTCATCATCGCCTTGGTGATGATATTGTTCAGATGTTAAATTAGTTTGCCGGAGAAGTTTCTGTGGTGCTCAAATTCTACATGTTTTACCGTTGTATCCTAGAAAATAGATGCTTGGATTAAAACTTAATCACGCACGGTGAGAGGGCAAATTTGTTTGAAGGAAACTATGTTTGTACAGGTCTTGGGTTAAAAGATTATTTTTTAGAATTATATGCTTTCCAGTTTAGAACTATAATATCATAAATTTACCATTAATCTTCAACTTTACAGTCACCATCTAAACCGATATAAATTTATGTGTATAGAAAGGAATAACGAACGCCACGAATTAAACATTATGGGTTCTGATGCACAATCTAAGCTTCCTATAGTTGACTTCAGAGAGGAAAATTTGATTCCAGGCACAAATTCATGGGTATCAACATCCAATTTGGTCCGATGTGCACTTGAATCATACGGCTGTTTTATAGCAGTTTACGAGAAAATCACTTTGGAACAGCGTAATGAAGTGTTCAAATCTGCAAAGGAATTGTTTGATCTTCCAGTGGAAACAAAAGTGAAAAATATTTCAAATTTTGCTGGCTCCGGATATGGTGGGAACTACCCTATCATGCCACTCTTTGAATACATGGGAATTGAAAATGGAGCAAATCTTGAAGCTACTAAGAACTTCACGAGCATCATGTGGCCTGATGGAAATGATTGTTTCTGGTAACGTTGAAATAGATGAAGACCTGATAATTTTATGTTATTCTTATATTCAATTAATACCCCATAACTTGTTAAGCTTAATATTGGTATGACTATTTCATTAGAGAAACAAAAATATGAATCTTACCTTTTCCTCAGTGTTTTATGTCCTATTTGATCTTATTACGGTGTCCATTAATATTCTTTAAGCCTTTTATTATAATTTTGTTCTTTTTATTTAGTGGTACAGCACATTCATACCGCAAGCTGCTATTGGAATTGGATCAAGCAGTGATGCAAATGGTGGTTAACAGTTATGGAGTGCAGAAATATTACAACCCCTTAATTCAATCGTCATTTTACTTGACAAGATTCATGAAATATCGAGTCCCCGAGGAAAATGAGATTAATATTGGACTTATACCTCATACTGACAAGAATTTTTTGACCATAATTGATACAAATCATGTAAGAGGTTTGGAGATAGAAACAAGAGATGGTGAGTGGATTGATTATCAGCCATCGCCTTCCACTTACCTAGTCATGGCAGGCGAGCCGATGGTGGTGAGAGCTCTCTTTCTTTCTCCCTCTCTCTCGGTATATATAAACATACAGACACAAATATTCATTTATAATAAGTACTGTACTAACATTTTAAACATAAATGTGTTGCTTTGCAAGGCATGGAGCAATGGACGAATTCATGCTGCGCTACATAGGGTTGTCATAAGAGGAGAAGAAGAGAAATATTCTATTGGAAATTTTTCCTTCATCAATGGGATGTTGCAAGTACCAGAAGAGCTAGTTGATGATGAAAATCCATTGAAATTTAAGCCATTTAGTCATCCGGCATTTCTTGAGTACTGCAAAGAAGGGGGACCTACGATGGAAAATGCAATTAAAACCTTTTGTGGATTTTGAATGCCATTCCCATCCATTTAGAATCTTCACAAATCCGTGCCATCTTGTGTATCTATTGCAAGCTAAGTATAAATATAGCGAGTTTCAACGTGTGGTTAGGTTCATCAGTTTTGCTGTTTCTATATTACTAAATGAAAACTCTGGAGAGTGTAACTTTCTATCAGTTATTCAGATAACTTGGATTTTGGAGGTATTTATGTGGCGGAAATATTTGTTAGACGAAATAAAACTATGAACTGATCACTAATTTATCGAATCGCGAGAATGGCCAAATTGGAATGAAATTTCGAACTTTAGTTACAAAACTACTATAGCAAGAATAATACATGAAAATTGAAGAACGAATCCGTCAATATATTAATCTTTTATTCAACAGAAGCCCAGAAACAGTATTGGTAACCGAATGGTTGAATACCGCGGAGCAATACATAATTGCTAATAGGAATTGAAATTGCAGTCTAGTCCTTCCACTACTAAATAATAATAAAAGATACCTAAAAAGCAAATAATAAAAGATATAAATAAATATTATAAACAATGCAAATTTATAATATTATCTATCTCCATCATCATCATTGTGTTGACAAACTGACGCTCGAATCTTGTATCTTGGTGTCATCTAACACGTTTCATGGACACTTTTCTTTATAACACAAAAGGAGGTACCATGTGACAGTAGTCCGCTTCGCTAGACACCTTTCATTTTTTTTATGATTGTTTCATGACGAAAGAAAATTTGAGTATAATTTAAAGAAACTTTGCAATAAAGAATTTGACAGTATTAAAAATAATTTGACAGATTAAACTAAGAAACTTTACAATTATTATTACAAGGAGCGAACACCAATGAATTTGACAAAACTTTCGAGTACCTTATACTCCCTATAATAGCTCAAGTACGAAAAATCTAAGTAATAAGAGTAGACATTTAAAAGACGAAAAAATATACTAAACGTTTACAAATAGTAGGATTATTTTATAACTAAAATAAACTATTACAACTTAATGAAAATGAAAACTTAAACAAATGTTTAGAAAGTGGGGCTAGAGTTGGGCACACTATGGTTGTGAGTCGATCAAACATTCTCCTTCATTTATTTTGGCAATTCCTTTGTGCCTCATTGTATGACATATTTCGATTAGTGATTTGAAGGCTCCGAGATCTTTACTCTTTCTCAAGTATTCTCATCGCTTCTCCATCTACTCCATTTCTCCAAGTCTCGCGGTCCTTCTTGGAAGCCCTCGTAACTTTGTGTACAAGAATAGCTTGAGCAACTTTTTCTCCAATTCAAATTTAGGTCGCATCAACTTATTTCTGGAAGTGTTATTCTTGTCTATAAAATATGCTTAAGTGCACCATGAAGGGATTTATACTCTATATGTAACTTTTTCGATCTGCTTCACGATAGGCAAAGGCCCGTTATATTTTGGCACCAATGGGAAATCTTTCCCTCTAGTTTTGTATTAGACCAATTGTATTAGACCAATTTTGACTATGTTAAACCTGAACTGTTTGACCAATTAAACCCTAGTTTAACATTAGGCCAATTTTGTCTATTTAAAACCTGAATTTTAATTAAATTGTAGTAAGTACATATCTTTTCATTCATCTATAATATGGATGGAAAGCCCAGACGTTTCTTGCTTGTGCATATGATGGGGCACTGTACCTTGACATGCAAAAGTATCGTTTATCATATAAAAAATAAATAAATATTTCATATCTTTTCGTGAAGCTACCAAAGGACTCAATTAAATCTATATATATCAAGCTCTACATAATTAGGCACTGTCTGACCAAACCTAGACTACATGGTCCAATTATATATCTTCGCTCATTATATTAAGGCCCTGTTTGGTATAAATAAAACTAAGATTTTTAGAAGATCTTGTTTAAAGTCAATGGAATGTGTGGTTGAAAAATTGTGGTCCCATTTAATATATAGTTAAAATGAATTGTTGATTTTGACTTCGATTTTAATTTAATTAACTATTTAGTTAAACGAATCAGGGATTCATTGTGTGAATCTGAACTCTAGAATTACATAAACTCAAGTGAGCTAATTTTTCAGTTACGTTCTCCAACTTACCAGTTTTATGTCTCACTCCAATAGGACATCAAATAGTTTGACTTGGGCTAAATAGGGGAAATACATGAAAATAGCATATAGAAAAGGGCCATTTTTTCCAAAATGACTTTTGATCAATTCACGTACCTAAAATACCCTTCATTTAGATATTACATAACAAGTCACTATAATATAGAATTTTTTCTAATTTTGTCCTTAAAATTAAATATTACTTGGATTTTGATAGTTTATTTTGATTTTTTTGATTTTTTGATTTATATGATTTTTGTTCACTCTAAGAAGCCCCCCAATTGGTATCAGAGTCATAGAGATCATGAGGAAACATATAAAAAATAGATTACCTAAAGAAATAAAAAAAATTAGATCTAGTTTAACACTTAGATTTTATATAAATAATAGATTAGTTATTATAAAGTTAAAGGAATATTTAGGTTATACATTTTTAAAATAATAATTAATTATAATATACAAATATTTACATCTCGATAAAAACATAGAGATCATGGAAATTAAAGTAAGGAAAATAGATAATTATTGGCATTTAGAAGAAGAAAGAGGAAGTTATATATTTTTAAAACATATTCATAATAAATTAAAAATAATGACACTAACAATAATTAAAGAATTACCTAGAGAAATAAAAGAACAAATATTAGAAAACTTAATAATAGAAACAATAAAGGATATATATACATATGAAAAAATTATTAAAATATATAAAGATGAAGAAATTAATTTATATTACAAAAAGAAGTATAAGTGTAAGTGATAATACAAATTTAAAATTAAACAAATTACTTATAAAAATGGAAAAAAAATATAAGATATACGAAATATAATGTTAATACCAGAAGAAATAAGAGTATCAAATAATAGACAATTAACAAAATTAAAATGTGAAAAATTAAGACTTGAGAGTAAATATTTCAGTATAGTAAAAGAATAATTAATAGATCCAGATATAGCCAACAGAAGATTTGAAAAAATAATAGATAAAAAAGAAGATAAAATATGTAAATTAAGTTATATGTTAGAAAGATGATTTTAATGTCAATAAGTGAATATATGGAAGAATTAAAGTCGTTAATAAAAATGTTAATAAATGATATACAAGATTTAAGAAATGAAGTAAGAGAAATAAGAAACGATATAAATATATTAAAAATTGAAATTAGAGAATTAAAAGAAAATAATAAAAATAAAGAAAAGAAAATAGATTTAAAAAAATTAATAGAAAAAGAAATTACTCGAATAGGAGATAAATATATTGAAAAAGAGAGTGTAATAATAGAAACATGAAGTATGGATGATGTATTTAGAAAAAATATATTACCAAAAATATTAGAAAAAGAATCTAAAGAAAAAATATTAGGAAAATTAAAAGTAGAAGAAAAAGAAGATAAAGATGAATAAGGAATTAGAAAATTTTGATCAATTAAGTTTAAGTGATATAAGTGAATACTAAGTTTTAAAAAAAAAGAAAAAGAAAAAGTTGAATCTCAATATTGAGGGCCCTCATCGCCCCGCCCTTAAAGCTTTGTGAGGGAGGTAAATCGCGGGATGTGCCCCAACAGGCCAGGGAATAATAGGAACTTCTAACAAGAATTACAAGATTTAGATGAAAGTTATGCACATATATATAATAAACCATATAGATAGTTTTATGATAAAGTAAGAGATAGACAACCACCTAAAAGAAATAAATATAGAGACATGTTTGAATTAAATGATAATTATGATAAACTTATAAATCATGGAGGAACAAAATTATATTTAAATTGCAAAGTAGATACTAAAAAAGCCTTATTAACTTGGGCAGATTCAACGATATTATTCTTTTTATATAATAAAGATGACACATGAGAAAATATTGAAAGAAAAATAGATTTCTTAATAGCATCATTTGAATGAGATGTTGGAAATTTGTGGAAAAAAATAAGTAATGATACAAAAATATTAATAAAAAAATCTACAAACAGAAATAATAAAATCATCTAGACAAGGTATAAAAAAATTAGTAGAATATAGTCAGATGAATTTTTAGGAGAAAATTGGATAAGAAATGCTGAAAGAGAAGAAATAAGATAAAAAGACAATGATAGAATTAAACTAATAAATTTAACAATATGTGATATGTATAAAATCAAAGAATATACTTGTGAATTTAGAAATTATTATTATGTTCAATTTTATAGTAATAAGAACCAAGAAGTACACCAAGATATGTATTATAATAAATTACCAGGTTCATGGGGAATATATTTTAAAATAGAATTTGAAAAATATGCTAGAGATAAAGTTAGAATACCTAGAACTTTAGGTTTAAGAATAAAAATTTTATTTGAAAGACTTGGATATATATGTCAACAAAGACAATTAATGAAAAAATCAAGAAAACTAGTTAGAATATGTTGTGAAGATATGGAAAATCCTATATAGTGAGAATGTAATCCTGAAAGAATGGTTAATAAAAGAAAATTTAAAAATAAATAATTTTAAGAATTTTGAAATTTTAATAAAAAAAATATAAAACCTAAAAGAAGATATTATAAAAAAAAAATATCTCATATGGTCAACAGAAAAATAAAAGTCAATGTAAATGTTGGAATTGTGGAAAAATAGGTCACATAAACCCTGATTGTGATAAAAAGAAAGTTAAAATATTACAAAAAAAATATTTGGAAATAAAAGATGAATTAAGTAAAATACTAGACATTGAAGAATATTATAAACAAGAAGTTTATATAAGTGAAACAGAAGATGATGAATCAGAATCTGAATAAGGAAATAGAGAAAATAGAAAGTAATAATATAAATATACAAGAATATGAAGTAATAGAAGGATATAGATTAAAATTTAAATTTGATAATAATAAATTTAGAAAATTACAAAAATTATATTTAGATTTAAAAATAGGGAAATGGGAAGTTTTAGATAGAATTTGAAAAAAAGAAATGATAGCATTATATGATTATCACAAAATAGAAAAAATTATAGATATAATAACAACATATGAACAACATAAATTAAATCTTTTAACAAAAAATATGGTTGAAGAACTATTAACAAAGGTTAGTAAAAAACAAAGTGAAAAAATTCAAT